GCACTTGTTTCTAATAGCTTCTTGTTACTACTAGTAAGGCACTTGTTACTGGTTGTTTGTTTGGGCCACGTCCTTGAGACCAGGGAGTTTTCTGACGCAGGCGGCCCAGCAACCACAGGCGCCAGAGGCAGTGCCAGACGTGGTGAGTCCTGTGGAGGCCGAGGTGATCGACTTGGATTCTGATGAGGCCACGGTCACAACGGGCATGATGGGCACCAGGGTCAGTCTGATCTGAGTTTGGTGGTGGCTTTGTCCAAGCAAAGTCGTTGCAAGAATCTTTGTGCTCACTTCAAGTCTGCAAACAACGTCACAAAGCGATGGAACCGTTCAAAACCTTTGACGAAAACGACCATATGTCCTATTGTCCCCCAGTGGTGGAGAGTATTCTCATATTCCTATTTCTTGAAGGTGTATTTTCTCTTGAAGGTTGGCCGTCGCCATTAGTTTGGAGGCCATTGCTTCTAGATTGGCCATTCCTCTTGAAGGTGTATTGGATTGGAGACGAAACCTAGCCGTGCTGTCTTTCTCCCAGGAGGGCCCAGATGGAGACCAGGGGAAGCGAGCCCAGACGTCTACCACTTCGGCCGAGATGGTTCACACCGCGCTGCTTGATGTCAATGGACCAGCGGGGACCCATATCCAGAAAACAAATTGGTGAAAGTATCACTTGGTGAGATTTGTTGTGCTGTTGAACAGTTTTTCTATAAACGAGGCGTTTCTGCAGGTGCTGTGCTGGAACCACACGAAGAGTTGGTGGTTCGTTCCTGTTTGGTTCCTGCGTCCTTGGCCTTGAACCTATTGAAGTTGGATCTCACTACCCCAAATCAAAAGGGGCAGCTGTTGTCGGCTTTTGTGGGAGCTTCGTTGCCGGAATGCTACTGTGCTGTGCTGTGCTGTCGACGCCGCTGCCTTCAAATGCAAAATTAGTGGTCTTTTCTTCTACTTTTCTTCGAAAGAAGCTTACACGAGAGTTCCCCTTGAATGTGTATTTCCTCTAGGAGCAAGGACGCTACTAGGGGCTCCTGGCCTTACTACTAGGAGCATTCTTGCTACTAGTAACAAAGGGCATCGCTACTAGGAGCAAGGACGCTACTTGTGTTGGTCTCACATTCCAGCTGCCGAGGCCGAGGAAGAAAATGCGAGTCAGCGGAGTGTGTTGCCCCATTTGTCACAAGAGGCTTCCGGTCAGTGACGCTGATGCCCATGTGAATGCCCACTACGGGGGTTGAGAAACACTTGGACCCGCCTGGGCACATTAAGCGGATTCTTCCACTCAACCGAAGTCATGTAATTGAACAAGTGGCACAACCAGTGGAAGAATCCCTTTTTGCCACTGCCTTTCTTTTGGCATCCGAAGTGGGGTGAGACTGCTGGGCTGGTCTTCACTTCCCTCCCGACGCCAACTTGTCCATAGCAGTCCCACAAGATTCATGGAGATCCGTGGAACATTTTGAGACTAGGGGCTCCTGGCATCGCTACTAGGAGCGAGGACGCTACTAGGGGCTCCTGGCCTTACTACTAGGAACAAGAAGCTACTAGCAACAAAGGATGCAACTCTTGGAAAGCCAACAGAAGATTTTGAGACTATGGACTCCGTGGGCCTTCTCTTTTCCCCGCTAGGTTTGAGGCCATCGCTATGGACTCCATGGACCATTTTCTAAAGCCACCCCAAGCTGGACAATCCTTGGATCTTGTGGAAATTGGGTTGAAATCAAAGAGCAGAGAGTCTGGGAATCGCCACATCGGATAAGAAGTTGGCCCCCTCATGTCAACCAGCTTGGTCTTGACAGCAAATATGGAGCTTGTAGATCGATTCCGATGTGCAAACGGGTGCGACACGGCGCCAAACTGCGACTTGCGAAAAAGGAGCAGCAGAACTTGGGACTCGGTCGGATGCAAGTGCCTCCCAGGTAGGAAGACTTTGAGTTGGGTCAATTTTGCTACTAGGTTGGAGGCCATTGTTTTTGCCAGCTTTATCGACATTGGTTGTCCCGCTTGGAACGGTGTCAATGATGTCTCTCAGCACCATCAGCATCACTGCCATGACCGGTGAGAAGTACCTCCATCGATCCAAAGCCTTTGCTTCTTCTTTGGTGGTTTACAGCTGGGCATGGAGGAGGAGCGTATTCTTTCCTGCCCCTATTGAGCCTATTGAGTAGATGACAATCCTGTGCTCCCAATAGGTTTGCCAACCTGGGTCCCGTCGCAGGAGCATCGAGCTGCGAGGAGGCAGCACTTGACAGGATTTCTTTCAGAAACAGAGCCAAGCGCGGTCCGCGGTCCGCGGGCGCGGTCCGCGGGTGTTGAGCGATGTGTTGTCGTATGTTGTCGTGATCGTTTGAAACATGTTTCCGAAGACGATACGGAGGGTGACTCACTGTCGTTCAAACCTGGATCTAAACACGAAACGTGTTGTTTTCTTTGATTTGTAGCAGGTGTATCCCAAATTGATGGTTAACTCGATCCTCAATTCTTTTCGCGAAACTAAGTGAGCCTTCCTAGATCTTCCTAGTGTGATGCCCAACACGTGTGACGGACATCAGAAAAGTGATTTGTTGCTTTGCAGTCGTGCGTGACAAGCAGGAATGAGCAGGAACGAGCAGGAAAACAAGAACACCGAAAAGAAAACAAATAGAACAATCATTCAGAGTGGCTTTGATCTTATTATGAACAAGGTGGCTTAAGTGTTAGTGTTCATTCAAGGAACCAGTTGAATTGCACCGGTTCGTATGTCTTGCCATGATGCTCTTTTCTAGGGCTGCTTTCACACATTTGGATCTTCCTATGAAGTGGAGCTTCCACCACCAAGACCTCGCTTCAAGCCCATCAAGCTGAGTGAAAGAAAGAGATCTCGTATCCAAAGAATTCAAAACTCCAAGAGCAAAAGCCCAACAGTGCATACTGCTCCTTGCTCTTGCTAGACTGTTTTTGCAACGAGAGCGCTTGCTACAAATTGTCACTCTCCCTGCTGTTACTTTTTGTTGATTGCTTCTAGTAGCATCCTCTACCCCCCCCTGCGCGCGCTCGAAAAAGCTCCTAGTAGCGTCCTTGTTCGTAGTAGTAAGGCCAGGAGCCCCTAGTAGCGGCCTTGCTCCTAGTAGCGATGCCCTTTGTTCCTACTAGCTTCTTGTTACTACTAGTAAGGCACCTGTTACTAGTAGCGATGCACTTGTTCCTAGTAGCGTCCTAGTAGCGATAAATCGTCCAGTCTTCCAAATACCGTCGCCGCTCGCGGCACGGCCGTCGCTGCACGCCGCGCGACGCGTCCGCCATGCCGCTGGCTTCGCTGGTGGGGCGGCGCGTGGCCATGGACCGGAGAACCGAGCCCCGGCTGTGAGAAAGTTCCAAACAAGTCCCGCTTTTAGGTTGGAGGCCATCGCTACTTGGAAGAAAGAAGAAAGAGAGATGTCATGAAAGGTCCAACGATCGAAGTAGCAATGGCCTCCAACCTGAATGAAAAAGTGACATTTTTCTTTGGTTCCTTTTAAGTGTCTTTGGCAAGCCACGAAAATTTTTGAGCATTTGGAAAAGCCTTCCTAAGATCTGAAAAGTAGCGATCGACGACGTCCGTTCCCTGTGTTTCTGGATGCTCTTTTACATTTCTGGGACAAGCTTCTGATGCTATCAACATGACGTGCACGTATTGAATATTTGCATGTTCAACCCTTCAAGTGCTTTCCATCTCCTTTATTCCTTCAACAACGAAAAAGATGTTAAGATTCATTATTATTCCTGTCCCTTGATTGGTTCTTTCTTTTCTTAGATTGATTCTTTCTTATTTTCTCGCCCTCTTGGTCTCAGGTGGTGTCCGACCGCACGGTGGCCGTGGCCGACCGCGACGTCCGCGACGTCCGCGTCGTGGCAGCACCGCGTAGCGTGGTGCAGCGACCAGTGCAGCGCCCAGTGCAGCGCCCTGCGCAGCGTCCGGTGCAGCGTCCGGTGCAGCGCGCTGCACCCCGTGCACGACACATGGCGGAAGAAAGAATGAAATGAAAATCAAGAATGGCCTCCAACCTAATAGAGAAAAATATGAAAAAGCAATTGACATGTGACAAGTCCAAGGAGCATGGCAATCTTTAAACGGTTGTTCATTTTTGGTGTCTTCGTTGAGTCCATTCAAATCGTATTGAGGAGATGGGGGTAGAGTTGGAAACCTTGAAATCGTTGAGAGCTTCGAGTTTTGGGATTGTTGCAATGGAAAGGCTTGGTGAGTCAATCGATGCAAGATTGTCCAACATCCTTCAAGGTGTTCAACATGTGTTTGAAGTACTAGGAGCAAAGAAGCTACTAGGGGCTCCTGGCATCGCTACTAGGAGCGGGACGCTACTAGGGGCTCCAATCCCTGCCCCCCGCGCGCGCAGTCCTAGTAGCCTTCTTTGCTACTAATGTTAAATTATAGTTTATATGTACTAGCTTCTCGTTACTACTAAAGGCACTTGTTACTAGAAGCGAGGCACTTGTTACTAGTAGCAAGGATGCTACTAGGAAGAAGATGCTGAGGCCTGGTGGCTCGCGAGGAAGCGCCTGGCAGTGCAGCTGCGGAACGGGCTGCGCCGGTCGTCACGGTCCGCGGATCTGTGCACTTGGTCTCCAGTGGCGGCACCAGTGACGCACGGGAAGCGCGAAGAGTGGAGGCAGGCATTCCGGGGGTTCGGTGAAATGAACAAGGAAGAAAAGGAACGCTACTAGGGGCTCCTGGCCTTACTACTAGTAGCAAAAGACAGGAAGGTATGAAGGTCCAAACTCCGAAGAAAAAGCTAGACGACAGGGTGGCCCGAAACGGAGGAGGAGGAGGAGGATGGTGATAATCATAAGTGAAAAAAGTATAGAACAGTTTACTTGCCACTCCGTGATACTTGGGCGATGGTGCATCCTTGCGACCCACGGGAAGCAGAGGAAGCGTGGGTAGACTGCAATGCACACAGCAACACGAGGTTTTGGTAGTAACAAGGGCATCGCTACTAGGAACAAGGGCATTGCTACTAGTAGCAAGAAGCTCCTACTAGTTACTACTAGCGATGCCCTTGTTACTAGTGGCTTCTTGTTACTAGTAGTATGGCCAGGAGCTACTAGTAGCATCCTTGCTTGTAGTAGCGATGGTTTTGTTACTACTAGCTTTTCCGGGATGGAGCGAAGTCTTTGAAACAAGCTGTTTGCACACTGAGAAGAGCAGGGCGCAGGGTTCAGCCGCAGGTGAAATACCTTGGAGAGACAAGAGTGACTAAAATCGCTGTCGTTGTCATCACCATCATCATCAATCTCATCACATACAGGTGTTGAGATAGAGGTGTGGAGTTGCAGGTGTTGAAATACAGGTGAAGAGGCGCACAAGACTTGCCTACACGACTACAACTTCGACATCCTTCTAGCCTTCTCTTAATGCGGCGGGCTGGCCCGGCCAATGCCCACGAAACACGACCCTTTGCGCAGATTGCGCATGTCATTCTTGAATGTGTGAGGAAACAGTGTTGCCCTTTGCTAAAACATACATCAACCACACCGCTATGCACCAAGATTCTCCAGACATTGTTGGCTAAACAAGGCCCGCATAGGCGAGGTTCCTTGTGATGGCTAGGTGAACGAGAATCCACAGTGCCCAGGACCAGAGCTGAAGAGAAGCTCTCCGGTAGTCTAGCAAGGTAGTCTATAGTAACAAAGAAGCTAGTAGGAACAAGTGCCACGCTAGTAGTAACAGGTGCCTTACTAGTAGTAACAAAGAAGCTATTAATGTTAATTTAATTCTAATAGCTTCTTTGTTACTACTAGTAAGGCACCTGTTACTACTAGCGATGCACTTGTAATTACTAGCAAGGTAGTCTAGCCAATTCGTTTGAGAATTTCTGGTTCTTCCGTCCTTTTGCTCGTGCACCAGGCCCCAAAGACTGAAGGGCCGAAGAAGGCACGAAGTGCGCTTTTTGGGGCGAGCAAGGACGCCAAAAGGGGTGTTCCACCAGCCAGAAGCTGTTTTGGGAAATCGTGTGTACAGTGTTCCTACTAGCGTGGCACTTGTTCCTACTAGCTTCTTTGTTACTACTAGT